CATGGCACATGTATACATATGTAACATGTGCACGTGTACCCTAGAACTTAAAGTATAATGAAAAAAAAAAGAAAAGAATCAATTGAGAGCACCCCTGAATGGTGGGTGAAATATAATAAAATGTCAAAAACTAAATAGAGTCAGGAGGAATCCATGCAGGGATGGAGAAGGACAGCCTAGCATTGGTTTTCAGTACCTGAGCAGAAAAAACATTCTGCCTAAAAGGGCAGCTTGGCACAAAACATCTGAGAAAGACAGGGGTGAAGACAGAGGGAAAGCAGCAGAGGCAACCTGATGAAGGATGTTGAAGTCCCAGAGGGAGTGAGGACTCGCGTAAGGGCAGAGACACAAGAGACTGGTCACACAGAAGGGTACTGAACAAATAAGTGAATACAGCAGGTCCTTGAATAATGGCATTTCATTATAACATTGATGAAAAACAAATCTCATCTGAGGTCCCCGTCCGTGAGGCGTTTAAATGTTCTCATTATGTCTGTGTGGGGTTTCTTCAGGGACTCTGTTTTTGTCCTACATCCCAAAGCTCAGTAGATGAGATTAACTGATGTGTCTACATGATGCCACTCTAACCAACAGTGGATGTGTGTGTGAGTGACTGTGCAATGTCATTATGTACATGACATTGCTTACAAGTTTGATGTAGGACAATTAATCCTTTTCAAACACTTATAATTTAGATTAAATCACTGAGCAGCATTGACAAAGAAACTCTATAATAATAGGGTTCCCTCCTGGCACCCAAAACTGCCAGGAGAAACTCCTGCCATCTGCAAACCCAAACTGGAACAAGCAGGTTGGAAAAGGATCAAGTGAATGAATGCAAATTACTGTAAAATAAAAATCTGTGAGAACTACGATAATCACAAAAGTGCTCTTGTTGACAATGATGCCATACAAAAGCACTCTGTGAGGCTGACATACTTGTTCCTGTTTCTGAACTGCATAATGGTAAGTGGTGCTCCTTACAATCTGAAATCTGCTGACATCGATTGCTTGATGCAACCCACCACCACTACAACTGCCATCACTCAGTGGTTCACCAGAAATATGAGTAAAAAATATCTTACTTATTTTTATTAATCTTTAGAAAAAGTCTTCTAACAAACATTAAACATTGAAATCAATGTGAGCTATGGAAAGCTATGTAAAGCTCACATTGATTTCAATGTTTAATGTTTGTTAGAAGTGTTTTGGGTCCTTATTTAGAAGTTCGGTGATGTTTCTGGGCCCAGAAATATATCATAGGAATGTCACTCTTATTTATATCAGTTAGCCTATGGTAAAAGTGGTTTTATTATACGTATTTCACTCAGGCTCAATTCCAAGACCTATTGACCACATTAAGTAAGGACTTACTATATACTAAGCATGAAGGGAGCCAGGTTGCTATCAGAGATGGGAGTTACAGATGCAATTGACCCCTGAATGACATGGTGTGAACTGCATGGGTGCTCTTGTTAGCAGATATTTTTCAAGAAATATAAAACAATTTGGAAATTAATGGCAATTTGTAAAAACCTGCAGATGAACCAAATAAAAGAAATAACAAACAAAAATATTTATACAATTACTAGTCTATTTTATCATTGCTACCATGAAATGTACAAAATCAATTATAAAAAGTGAAAATTTATCAAAATGCATACATATAAAGAACATGATGCCAGCTTCAACTAAGAGAAATGTAAACAAGCATAAAAATGCAGCATTAAATTATAACTGCACAAAGTTAACTTTAGTATGTATTGTACTACTGTAGTAAGTTTATGACCACCTGGTACTACTGCAGTGAGCTCAAGTGTTGGGAGTATCAGCTCAAAACACGATGTGATGATAATCGTCTCCACAGGTGCAATTCGTTTACCTAGGAAAATGTGTCGTACAGTAAAAGGTAATTTCTCATGGTTCTTGTCTGTTTTCCATCATTCTTTTTGCAATGCCACGAACCTCAAAACATGTGAAGTGCCACTATTGATGCCACAAGTGCTCCAATGATGTAAAGTCATGACTTTTTTATATGAAAAAGTTGAACATTTCTCCAAAGAAAAAGTTTTGAAAAATATTAACAAGTTTCCTATAATACCACACATCTACAGCCATCTGATCTTTGACAAACCTGAGAGAAACAAGAAATGGGGAAAGGATTCCCTATTTAATAAATGGTGCTGGGAAAATTGGCTAGCCATAAGTAGAAAGCTGAAACTGGATCCTTTCCTTACTCCTTATACGAAAATTAATTCAAGTCGGATTAGAGACTTAAATGTTAGACCTAATACCATAAAAATCCTAGAGGAAAACCTCGGTAGTACCATTCAGGTCATAGGCATGGGCAAAGACTTCATGTCTAAAACACCAAAAGCAAGGGCAGCAAAAGCCAAAATTGACAAATGGGATCTCATTAAATTAAAGAGCTTCTGCACAGCAAAATAAAATACCATCAGAGTGAACAGGCAGCCTACAGAATGGGAGAAAATTTTTGCAGTCTACTCATCTGACAAAGGGCTAATATCCAGAACCTACAAAGAACTCAAACAAATTTACAAGAAAAAAACAAACAACCCCATCAAAAAGTGGGCAAAGGATATGAACAGACATTTCTCAAAAGAAGACATTCATACAGCCAACAGACACATGAAAAAATGCTCATCATCACTGGCCATCAGAGAAATGCAAATCAAAACCACAATGAGATACCATCTCACACCAGTTAGAATGGCGATCATTAAAACGTCAGGAAACAATAGGTGCTGGAGAGGATGTGGAGAAATAGGAACACTTTTACACTGTTGGTGGGATTGTAAACTAGTTCAACCATTATGGAAAACAGTATGGCGATTCCTCAAAGATCTAGAACTAGATGTACCATATGACCCAGCCATCCCATTACTGGGTATATACCCAAAGGATTATAAATCATGCTGCTATAAAGACACATGCACACGTATGTTTATTGCGGCATTATTCACAATAGCAAAGACTTGGAATCAACCCAAATGTCCATCAGTGACAGACTGGATTAAGAAAATGTGGCACATATACAACATGGAATACTATGCAGCCATCAAAAAGGATGAGTTTGTGTCCTTTGTAGGGACATGGATGCAGCTGGAAACCATCATTCTTAGCAAACTATCACAAGAACAGAAAACCAAACACCGCATGTTCTCACTCATAGGTGGGAACTGAACAATGAGATCACTTGGACTCGGGAAGGGGAACATCACACACCGGGGCCTATCATGGGGAGTGGGGAGGGGGGAGGGATTGCACTGGGAGTTATACCTGATGTAAATGACGAGTTGATGGGTGCTGACGAGTTGATGGGTGCAGCACACCAACATGGCACAAGTATACATATGTAACAAATCTGCACGTTATGCACATGTACCCTAGAACTCAAAGTATAATAATAAAAAAAATTAACAAGTTATAACCTATTAAATAGAATGAACCATGAATCTATACTGATACAAGTAAATTAATAACTTGAAGGTTTGATGAGAAAGAGATATTCATATAGTCTCAAATGAACTCTCTACAAAATAGTAATTCATTAAAAAGTGAAAAAATAACATGACAGAGAAGATATTCAGCAGATACCACCATTAATAATAAAATCTAACATCACCAGTAACAGGCCAAATCAAAATTGTGGTCAAATAATAGGATGCAATAAGATCACAGGAGCATTTCTGTGATAGCCATGTTCAAAAAGTATGATATAAAACTAATTACAAGGAAACATTACAAAAACCCAATTGAAGAACATTCTGCATTACTAAACTTTATCTTCTAAAGATTCAAGGTCATAAATATCAAGGAAAGACTGAGAAACTGCTCTCATTGAAAGTCTAAGAGATATAAAAAATAAATATAATCAATGGAGCTGAATGGAATCTTTTGCAACAAGGAATATTATAGACAAGTAATAAAACAAAAAATCTAAGAATTAAATCTTAGAATATATTAATGTTAAATTTCTGTGAAGATTATATTGTAGTCACATAGAATGTCCTGACTTGTAGGAATAAGAAATCAGAAATCATGGTAGAGTGTCAGCAATTTACTCTCAAATGGTTCAGATAATGTTCTTTGTAATAAAGCTTGAAACTTTGATTTTAAGACTGTTTTCAAAAGCTAATCAAAAAACAAGTAAGTAAGTAACATAAAAGGTGAAAAGTCTTAGGAAAACCTTATTTTTTCATGAGGAAAGATCCATATAAATCAGCACTTAAAATTACATAAATTTGATGGTATGGTGTCAATTGCATTACATGCAACCATTGCCAATGACCACAGTACTAATATAACAAAATGATGTCGGTTGAAATCTAAATCTATCATTGTAATTGTAATAAAAATTACAGGATACAAAGCACTAATAAAAAGTTGGTAGTTTTACTTGTTTAAACAGCTGCCTATTGAAACATTTGAGTATGTAAAACTCAATACAGGTTTTTGTTTGTAAGATCCACTAAAAAGTTTGTTAAAGAAGCCTAGAAACATGGTTTAAAATGCCACATAATTTTTTTTTTTTTTTTTTTTTTTATTAGACGGAGTCTCGCTCTGTCACCCAGGCTGGAGTGCAGCGGTGCAATGTCGGCTCACTGCAAGCTCCATCTCCCAGGTTCATGCCATTCTCCTGACTCAGCCTCCTGAGTAGCTGGGACTACAGGCACCTGCCACCATGCCCGGCTGATTTTTTGTATTTTTAGTAGAGATGGGGTTTTACCATGGTCTCGATCTCCTGACCTTGTGATCTGCCCGCCTCAGCTTCCCAAAGTGTTGGGATTACAGGTGTGAGCCACCACGCCCAGCCATAAATTTTCACCAAACATGTATGATATAAAAATATTATGCTTTTTAAGAAAAATTTTATATGTTTTATGTTAAATAAAAAACCATTAAAAGTTCAAGTAAGCATTCCAGTAATAAAATATTACAATTTTTATATTATATAATTTTAAAATAAAAGTTAGTACCTTTTTTTCTGATGCTTTACTGACTTCATCTTTTAGATTTAAATCAGTAGATCCTAGAGGAGCCAGTTGCAGAAAATATTGATTGTAGCTCAGCACCACCTGGAAAGAAAAATATTTATGTTCTTCACCTAAAAGTTTTTATGGTAAACTAAGTGGAAGTCAGAAAAGGGTTGAGGACCTGCTCTGTGTTACTGAGAATAAAAAATATGTATATGTAACTATTATACAAAATTGTTGTTAAATATAACTCACCCATAGTTGTGCATTGAAATAATTATCATTATGACTATGTATCAGAGCTTCTGGCTTTCTCATTCTTTATTCATTTATTCAACAACCATGTGACAAACACTGGAATTACAGGATGAAGATGAGATAATCCACTTCTTGGCAATGTTACACTATTATATAACCTGAAAAAACAAAGAGGTAATTTTCACACTTAGTAACAGATATCATGACAGATTTAAAATAGGGCACTACTGGAACACACAGATGGGACATCCAAGTTTTGGGTCAATATTGTAGACTTTTTGGTGGAGGAGATATGCAGGTTGATACCAGAAGGACAACAAAAACATATGTCAGACAGAAGGCAGGAGCAAATGCCAAGAGCTGGAGCTGGGAAAGATCACTGTGAAATTCTATGTAGTCTCGTTGGCTGGATGCTAGAGGTGGAGTACTAGTAAGTGGTGAGAAAAATCTGAGTAACTTGACAACAACCAAATTGACTTGGGCATTTTTTATTGTATTCCAAGAAATGTAGAACATTTACTGAAGACGAAGGTCAACCAATGACAAAGTCAAAGACTGAAGATTTAAAATGTCACCAGTCACATGACTGCTTATGAACTATAACTGCTTGGCTATGCATTACGAGATGAGTCTTAGGTCTGTTGACCTTAAATCACAACCATAACCCTGAGAAGAGAATGATGCCTTTGTTTTCTCAAAACAACTGCAGTGTGTAGGCTAAAAGTTCCACAGGGATGGCAGAGAGTTAGAGCCAAAAACAGATATGTCGACTATTTGAGAGTTTTCTAAAGATATGGAAAATGACAAATTAATGAGGCATAAATATACTCTTTTTTTTAAATTATACTTTAAGTTCTAGGGTACATATGCACAACGTGCAGGTTTGTTACATATGTATACATGTGCTATGTTGGTGTGCTGCACCCATTAACTCGTCATTTACATCAGGTATATCTCCTAATGCTATCCCTCTCCGCTCCCCTCTCCCCACAATAGGACATGGTGTGTGATGTTCCCCTTCCTGTGTCCAAGTGATCTCATTGTTCAATTCCCATCTATGAGTGAGGACATGTGGTATTTGGTTTTCTGTTCTTGTGATAGTTTGCTGAGAATCATAAATATACTCTTAATTATAAGCATGTGTTTATATCTTTCATTAAATGTGTATACAAAAATAATTAGCATACTATCTATTGAACAAACAATAGCCAACTGATGTACTTATCAATTAAGCAAACTGTAAATAGACATTTCCTATTTATAGTTTATTTTAGAAACCAATTAATAAATCTGAATTAAACTAATAAATTTTGCAATGTACCTTCTCCTGCTCTAGTGGTATTTTCTGCCACTCCTGCTACATTTTAAATAAGTCAAATATTATTTAAAATGTTTAATTTTAAGAAGAGAAATTATCCTGACAATGATGTATCACTTACAGAATTGTGCCCTTTAATATTTTCAGAGACTATACTGAACATGAGAATTGCTTAAATAGAAAAATACAATCATATAAATAACCTAGAATTCTAACTTATTTTAGGTTTAGATAATAGAGACTATACATGTGTACTGCTGTTTAATCTGAGAAAAAAATTACAAATAATATTGTTCTATGAGTTTTTCTCTTACTACTACAAAGGTTAGAGAATTTAAGTCATATTTTGCAGTGAATGTATTTCTTTCTAATTCTTAGCAAAACTCTGTCCTTTATAAAAGTTCAGTTTTTTCACTTCAATAGATTTTTCCTTAAATTAACATCCCATTCTCCCCCTTCAGAAAATTTACATTTTAATGTTTGTTATATGTTATCAACTTTTCAGCACAGAACCTTAAATACACAAGCGAAGAAAGTGGTACTAGCATAATGTCATGAGAAAACTGGACTGGCAAGAGAATAAGTAAGAATATCATGTGATCTATGTTATGATTGATATTTCTTTATATGAACACATAGATTTCAGAAAATTTGTTCGAAAAAAGAATATAGGTTAGAACCAGTTTTCAAAGTTAGTTTGATTTATAACTTTCTAGAATTAGAAAGAAGAAAAGTATTAAATAGCTGCATATTTATAACTTTGATGCCTTTTCAGAAATTAGTATCAGTTTTAAGAATCATTTAATTATAGTTTTCTACTTAATAATGAAATGTGTGGGAGTATTTCAAGCTCCAATGCAAGTGTTTCCATCTGGAGTGTTCTTCTTTACATCTTTTGTATAAGAGGTGTTCTCTTGCCGTATGCCAACAAGGTCTGAAATTGTGTACTGTATACACTGGACACTTTAATACCAATGAAAATATGATACCTAAAGCCTTCACCATTTTCAGACAAACATGTTTTCCCATATTTTGAGAGACTGTACTTCATAACATATCTGTGACTATAATGTTACAGACATGCCTGGTAAATTTAATGATGTGACAATACACATCACTAGAGAGGTCTTGTAAAGGAAATAACTCAACACCAGATAAAGGAAGGAGGCTGTACTGGAAGAATATTATATTACCATTAATAAACAGTATGAAAATGTACATTTTCCCATGACTTCAACTAAAAAACTACTAAGGCAATGCTATTTTCTTTTCCCCAAAAAGTTCTTGTTCTAAACATTTAATTCCGATGTGTAATAGATTACATTACTTCTTTGCATCCTGTTTATATTTTTTTAATACATAAATTTGATTCCGTAAAAATCAAACATGTTTCTCAACAGATTGTCTAATTTTGTACTGAAGAAATATGAACTCTGTAGGGAATACTTTATTATAACAAACTTAAGTGAGGCCATTTTTTACCCTCCTAACTCTCAAAAAATAAATGGTAGAAGGAGCTCTATCTCCTTCAGTTCTGCTCTAATCTTAGTTATTTCTTGTCTCCTGCTAGCTTTTGAATGTGTTTGCTCTTGCTTCTCTAGTTCTTTTAATTGTGATGTTAGAGTGTCAATTTTAGATCTTTCCAGCTTTCTCTTGTGGGCATTTAGTGCTATAAATTTCCCTCTACACACTGCTTTAAATGTGTCCCAGAGATTCTGGTATGTTCTATCTTTGTTCTCATTGGTTTCAAAGAACATCTTTATTTCTGCCTTCATTTCGTTACATACCCAGTAGTCATTCAGGAGCAGGTTGTTCAGTTTCCATGTAGTTGAGTGGTTTTGATTGAGTTTCTTAGTCCTGAGTTCTAGTTTGATTGCACTGTGGTCTGAGAGACAGTTTGTTATAATTTCTGTTCTTGTACATTTGCTGAGGAGTGCTTTACTTCCAATTACGTGGTCAATTTTGGAGTAAGTACGATGTGGTGCTGAGAAGAATGTATATTCTGTTGATTTGGGGTGGAGAGTTCTATAGATGTCTATTAGGTCTGCTTGCTGCAGAGATGAGTTCAATTCCTGGATATACTTGTTAACTTTCTGTCTCGTTGATCTGTCTAATGTTGATAGTGGAGTGTTGAAGTCTCCCATTATTATTGTATGGGAGTCTAAGTCTCTTTGTAAGTCTCTAAGGACTTGCTTGATGAATCTGGGTGCTCCTGTATTGGGTGCATATATATTTAGGAGAGTTAGCTCTTCCTGTTGAATTGATCCCTTTACCATTATGTAATGGCCTTCTTTGTCTCTTTTGATCTTTGATGGTTTAAAGTCTGTTTTATCAGAGACTAGTATTGCAACCCCCGCTTTTTTTTGTTCTCCATTTGCTTGGTAAATCTTCCTCCATCCCTTTATTTTGAGCCTATGTATATCTCTGCGTGTGAGATGGGTCTCCTGAATACAGCAGACTGATGGGTCTTGACTCTTTATCCAGTTTGCCAGTCTGTGTCTTTTAATTGGAGCATTTAGTCCATTTACATTTAAGGTTAAGATTGTTATGTGTGAACTTGATCCTGCCATTATGATATTAACTGGTTATTTTGCTCGTTAGTTGATGCAGTTTCTTCCTAGCCTCGATGGTCTTTACATTTTGGCATGTTTTTGCAATGGCTGGTACCAGTTGTTCCTTTCCATGTTTAGTGCTTCCTTCAGGGTCTCTTGTAAGGCAGGCCTAGTGGTGACAAAATCTCTAAGCATTTGCTTATCTGTAAAGGATTTTATTTCTCCTTCACTTATGAAATTTAGTTTGGCTGGATATGAAATTCTGGGTTGAAAATTCTTTTCTTTAAGAATGTTGAATATTGGCCCCCACTCTCTTCTGGCTTGTAGAGTTTCTGCCGAGAGATCTGCTGTTAGTCTGATGGGCTTCCCTTTGTGGGTAACCCGACCTTTCTCTCTGGCTGCCCTTAAGATTTTTTCCTTCATTTCAACTTTGGTGAATCTGGCAATTATGTGTCTTGGAGTTGCTCTTCTCAAGGAGTATCTTTGTGGCATTCTCTGTATTTCCTGGATTTGAATGTTGGCCTGCCCTACTAGGTTGGGGAAGTTCTCCTGGATGATATCCTGAAGAGTGTTTTCCAACTTGGTTCCATTTTCCCCCTCACTTTCAGGAACCCCAATCAGACGTAGATTTGGTCTTTTTACATAATCCCATACTTCTTGCAGGCTTTGTTCATTTCTTTTTCTTCTTTTTTCTTTTGGTTTCTCTTCTCGCTTCATTTCATTCATTTGATCCTCAATCGCTGATACTCTTTCTTCCAGTTGATCGAGTCGGTTACTGAAGCTTGTGCATTTGTCACGTATTTCTCGTGTCATGGTTTTCATCTCTTTCGTTTCGTTTATGACCTTCTCTGCATTAATTACTCTAGCCATCAATTCTTCCACTTTTTTTTCAAGATTTTTAGTTTCTTTACGCTGGGTACGTAATTCCTCCTTTAGCTCTGAGAAATTTGATCGACTGAAGCCTTCTTCTCTCATCTCGTCAAAGTCATTCTCCGTCCAGCTTTGATCCGTTGCTGGCAATGAGCTGCGCTCCTTTGCCGGGGGAGATGCGCTCTTATTTTTTGAATTTCCAGCTTTTCTGCCCTGCTTTTTCCCCATCTTTGTGGTTTTATCTGCCTCTGGTCTTTGATGATGGTGATGTACTGATGGGGTTTTGGTGTAGGTGTCCTTCCTGTTTGATAGTTTTCCTTCTAACAGTCAGGACCCTCAGCTGTAGGTCTGTTGGAGATTGCTTGAGGTCCACTCCAGACCCTGTTTGCCTGGGTATCAGCAGCAGAGACTGCAGAAG